CTGCTGCTCCTCCTCCTCCTCCTCTGGCACGTCCGCGCCAGCGCCAGCGCCCCTCCTCAGGCCCCTCGGCCTCGTCCTGCTCGCGGCTCTCTGTCTTCGTCCTCTGGAGCCCTCCTCTTCTTCCTGATGCTCCTTCCCCCTCTCCACCTCCCTGGTCCTACCTCCTCGCCCCCCCCCGCTCCCATAGCCTCCAGGCCCCCATGTGATACCCCAGAACCCCTTCCTTCGCGGTTCTTCTTCTTCTTCTCCTCCTCCTCCTCCTACTCCTACTCCTTCTGCTCCCAAGCTCTGCCTGAAACTGCCGAAACGTCAATATTCCTCGGTCCCGCCCGGGAGATTCTTCCTCTCCTCCTCCCACTACCTCCTCCCATGAAATCTTCGGCCACGTCGTCATGAACTCGTTTTGCTTCTCTGCACGGCGGCTAAGACCGAACATCGTGCAATCTTCGGCCACGTCGTCATGGGCAAGGTGGCGGAATCAGACTACGCCGTGATCAGCAAGGCGGAACTGGAGTACTGTACAGTACGCCTTAAGCTGGCGACCAGGGCCAAGGAGCGCAAGTTCTTCGGCAAGTCGTCATGACTGTGGACGGGATGTCCTGGCAGATCAGAGTTCTGAGTTTTGAGGCTCTTGGGGGGGCGGTCCCTCCTCGGTGCCGCCCCTGGGATCGGCCACTCCTGCGCGTGGGGGCCGGCGGGATCTCAGGGGGGCGCCTTTGGGCGCGGTCTGCGGTTGCAGGCGCCGAGGGCGGACCGCCCCCCCCTTCGCGGGACGCGAGGGGTCATGACCCATTCTCTGTTCACCCTCCCACCTCCCCTCCTCCTCCTCCTCCTCCTCCTCCTCCTCCTCCTCCTCCTCCTCCTCCTCCTCCTCCTCCTCCTCCTCCTCCCCGCTTGGCCCGAAAAAGCCGTAGCACCATCGTCCTGCCTCCTCGTCCTCTTCTTACCTCCTACGAGTCTCCTCTTCCTCTTACACGTGGGACCTCTTGGAGCCACTCCTCCCCTGTCGCCACCGGGGAGGTTCGAAAGGACGCATGACCCTTTCCAGGGCAAAGGGGCACCACAGAGCCACACTTCGGGGGGGGACGCAAGGACGCGAAAGGGGACCGAGAGGGCATGTGAGCACCCTGAAACTTGCGGGGTCAAACTACTCATAGCTCGCACCTGTAAGTACCTCATCCTTCTCCTCCTCATCCCTCCTACTCTAAATCCCCCTCCGTCTCCATCCAACCTCGTCCTCCTCCTCTTCTTTCCTCCTCCTCCGCCTCCTCCTCCTCCTCCGCCTCCTCCGCCTCCTCCTCATCTAAGAGGACGGGAGAACCACCCGCATCACAAGCACCCCTGCAACCGAAACCCGTTAGCAAGCGTGTCTGGTGAAGGAATCGAGCCAGGACAGGGCAGGGCTGCGCAGTGGGCGCACAGGGGCAGACGAGCAAACGCCGCTTGTGGGGGCTGGGTTTGCTCTTATCCTGCCGCTTTCGAAGAGGAACGGCATGGAGAGATTCGCTTTCGGAGGTGCGCGTGAATGACTTGGATCGGCCCTGAACTCCACCAGGGCGCGCCGCCAAGCGGGTCCACAACGCCGATCAAAGAACTCCGCGCTTCTGCCTCCCCCTCCTCCCACCACCTCTCGGAGGAGGACAGATGGTTGATGGACACAATCCTGCATCTGAGAATCATCTGGCTACCATACGGGCCGCCAAGTAAGGAACGAAACCGCTTTTTGCCTCAAAAGCACCTGGGTGCACGACGAGCGCTTGTGGAACAACCATGGAAGGACATAAGCAATAGGGAACCCCTTCCGAATCCGACCTTTCCCTTTATTCAAGCGTCTTGACTGGATCTTCTGAATTTTTGTGAACGCTAAGAGCGCTTTCAATATAATATATGTGGGCGGCGTCGCGATGTGTCGATCTGTCGACTGCCCGAACTCATGCACCCCGCTGGCGATGCCAACCAACATCGAATCGGGAGCAGGGGGCACGTTGAAGTCTGCTCCGGTACCCCGATCGCGAGTGCGGTACAGGATTTAGTGCATCAGCTGGAGGCGAAGGGCAAACGCAATACGACAGGTTGGTGTTGTGCCGACTTCGGCGTGGGTGACTGACACCGCGTGGATCGTTCAACTTTGTACGAGCGGCGGCTTTCCGGTCGCCAGATCGTTATGCATTAGCCGATACGGTTCTGGGCCGCAGGCGGCATTCAACCTTGAACGCCCGCAGCTGGGTCGCAGCCAGTCGACACGACGCGCATCAATAACGCGCCGCCGCGGGGAACCCGTCAGCGCGCTGGCGGGGAAGAGTCACCAGGCCTTCGGGCAGGCACGCAGGGAGAAGGAGCGCGCCGACGGGCCCTGCGCGACGGCGTGCCGTGGATGCTGCCCTGCTCCCTCCCGAGAAGGCCTTCGAGAGCACGGAAGCCACGGCGGCCGCGGCCACGGCCGCAAGCCGCGGCGGCGAGGGCCACCGCAGCGAGCGCGGGGCGCTCGCGACCGCCACGGCTGCGGCGAGCGAGGGCCACGGCGAGGGCGGCCGCGGCGGCGGCGGCGAGGGCCACGGCCAGCGGGGGGCGGCCCGCCGCCTCGAGCACCTTGCCCGCCGCCTTGTCCGGCTGGCGCTGCTGCTGCCGCGGGATCCAGTCCTCGCCGCCGGCGGGCGCCACGGAGCCCAGACTCCCAAGGGAGCCTCGGGCCCACCGCGCAGTGGTGTCTCACATCTCCTTCGACTCCTGCCTCCCCCGGCACCCGCTCGTTTGAGGCTTGCCTCATGGCCCGTCGGCGGGCCTGCTTCGGTCTGCAGGCGACGTTGTTTTTGCCTGCACACCCCCGGCAACAGCTCCCCTGTGGAGCTCTTTCGCGGGGTCGTCCGTACCCGTTTCCGTATCCTGCCCGCTCCTCCTCACCTCGTCTCGGAGAAGGACAGAGACCCTCGAGAGCAAGGAGCCCACGGCAACCGCGGCGGCCAGGGCCACCGCACCGAGGGAAGGCCTCCCCTCACATGCGGGGCGGGAATCCGTCCATATCGCAGCCTGGGGGATCGATATTCGGGGACCTCGGCAGGCGGTGGGCACGGACATCTCTGGCCCCCCCAGGGCCCAGGCGTATCGATATCCACCGTCTGCCGAGGTTCCCGAAGATCGATCCCCCCAGGCTGTGGGGTGGATAACTCCCCGCTTCGGATCAGAGGTCGGGGATGGAAGACTCTGGGCGGGCGGTTCTCTTGTCGTCCGAGAGTTCCAAGACTCGGGGGAGCATCTTGGAACCCCTTGGAGCATCTTTGGGGCGCCTTGGATATCACTAGTACAATCAGACCTACCCCGTACTATGCACATTTCTGGCTGGCAGATCTGTCACCGTGCCGCGAGGCACTGAGAGGAGTATACTCAAGTCCCGTCAAGCTCACTGCATTGAAGACTGGAACTGCTTTTTTCATGGCCCCAGACGCTGAGCTCGCGGAGGTCCCCGTGAGGTGTCTGCAGAGGCCCAGAGAGCATGGTCGGGAGACGATACGTACCACATGTCCCACAATGTTTTTGAATATGATGTTCGAAACGTTGCCGCCTGGTGCGCTGCCATATTCCAAGGCCGCGCTAACGGCGATGTCGATTAATGGTGATCTTGGGATCCTAGTTTTCGCAACAAAAACTCGCGCAGAACAAAGTGCAGGAAATCACGCACCATCCTTTCCTACACCTCAAGCACGCGAATCGGTCGAGCAAAAACAACACCGTGATCTGTAGGATACACGAACCAATCTTTCCTAGAATTGGTTTGACCACGAACCAATCCCACCTACAAAACCGAAACCTACATCGTCGTTACCTGCATCGCCTTGAACGCATTTCCGGGTGTTGCCGCCTATTGCCGCCTCGTTGCCGCCTCGTGCGCTGGGTGGGTCCGGCGAGGTTTCCCCACGTTGCCGACCCATTGCCTTATCTGGCCTCTGGCTTGCACCACGTATACTGCATCACATAAATTACAGCGCACAGCTTGCACCTGATAGCTGCATGCACATCCACACCGCAATAGCTTGTTGTTTGGGTCCACGCTGGCTAGCATCGCATACTCGCCTGTTCTGCCTCAAGAGTACCCACAAGTGAGATACCCCCAAGGGAGCCCCAGAGGGGGCCAGGGTGCGCGTCGGGGCCGTGGGCGTCAGGCCTGTCCTCGTGCGGGGCGTCGAACTGTGCGTCGGGCTTGGCTTCGGGCTGGGCGTGGGCGTCAGGTTGGGCATCGGGCTGGGAATCGGACTGGCCGTCGGGCTGGCCGTAGGGCCAGACGCCAATTTGCTCGGTTCTCCCGTGGTCGCGGAGACCACGGTTGCGACCAGGGCGGAGATCCGGACCACACCACCTGGGCCGCGTACCATCTCTGATTCGCTGTAGCCTTCGGGTTCAACTCAACACGAGCGGGTGGTCGTCTTCGCACGTTCCCGGCTGGGAGGGAAAGAGTGAGCCAAAACGGCGACGGAAACCGTAGTGGAGAATCCTTGGGAGACGAAGCCTTGCAACACTCGAGTATGCTGTCTCTGGGGCTCCAGTGAGCGGAGTAGATGGCAGGACGGGAGGCCGAGGGAGGGGAAGGCAAGCCCAAACCTGTGCTGCACTGCGCCGTGTCGCACCGAACGGCGCGGCCGCCGGCCCCCACGGGTACCACCACCACCAATTTTTCGAGCCGAGCCCAGAGCGCGCCAGACCCGACAAAGGTCCACGCAAAGGGGGAGGAGGAGGACCCGTGTAAACTCAAAACCCATCAACGATGTTGAAATACACCCTCCCTCGAAGATCCCTCTTCATAGGCCCCTACAAAGGGGTTATTTCCACTGAGGAAATTGCTCCGTTGGGGGACAACCGTGTGAACATCTTGATGCGTGCCAAAGTACCATTCTCAGGACTACAACGCCACGATTCAAACCGATTGTTACGTCCTGGCGATCCTGAATCGCTCCAGAACGCAGAAATCCTGGAATGTCAACACAGCGAATCAAAGTAACAGTTGCGCCCTGACAATCCAACATCGCTCCATAACACCATTTTTGGCACGTGTACCATGAGAATAATCAGTGAAACTCTTGCATATGTAGAAAACGAATGTGCGCGGCGCTAAGGCGTGAACCGAAATAAGAAAAAGAACGGCCCTCTATCGGTGAAACTCTTCTACCTGTTTTAAACGAATGTGCGCGGCGCTAAAGCGAGAACCACATTTGGGAAACGAACTGCCCACAATATGTGAAGCTCTTGCCAATATTTTAGACTTACGACTAAAGTGCGCCGCGCTAAGGCGAATGCCATATTCTGAAAACGACCAGCCCTCAATGCGTGAAGCTTTGGCAACTTTTCAAAACGAATGTGCGAGTAGGAGGAAGGGAGGGAGGGAGGAAGGGAGGAATGGTGATTCTGATGACGACGACGACGATGAGGAGGAGGAATGGGGGGGCGGGGGATGGGAGAGGACCGGGAAGAGATGACGAGGGAGGGAGGATAAGGAGGAGGAGGAGGAGGATGGGGAGGGAGGAGGCGGCGGAGGATAACGAGAGAAACGCAGACGGTCGCGCCAGGCGGCGGGGCGGCCCCCTCCGCGAGGGGCACCGTGGTGGGATCTATGCTCCAGCACGAGTCCATCTCCTGGGGCGGGCGCGGGGAGGGAGGAGATTCGACTTCCGGAGGGGCAACGCTGGGGGGCGACTGGGGGAGAGCGGGGAAGGAGGAGGAGGAGGAGGAGGAGGAGGAGGAGGAGGAGGAGGAGGAGGAGGAGGAGGAGGAGGAGGAGGAGGAGGAGGAGGGTACGAAGTCTCGAGGTTCGAGGTTTTCGGGCGCTCTCGTCGGTTCTCGCCAGCTTGCCAGCCTCGGGATGCCATTCAACAGCTGCGCTTCGCCGCAATCGTTCCGGGGAGGGGGGGGGGGCCAAATCGCCCCGAACGGCGGCCAGAAGACCGAGAAACGACCCGAAAATTACCAAAGGTATTGTTTCCCCCAACTGTGCTTCGCCGGTAGGCGGGCAAAAGGCCCCCGATCGCGAATCCGAAAGTCTGGGCGGGGCGAGGACCCCTACCGGAGATCAGTGGGCGACTGGGGGTCCGCACGGATTTCTCGGGCCCTCCGCCCCTGGCGCGCTCCGCGCGCCACGGCAGGGTGGCGTCCAGCATCGATCCAATTCTAATCTGCGCGGAGGAGGAGGAGGAGGAGGAGGAGGAGGAGGAGGAGGACCGAAATTCGATGCTTATGCAAGGGGTGCACGGGTGAGCGCAAGCGACTGGGCTCAGTGGGGCGCTGGCTTCGCTCCGCGAGACAGACGCCTGAATGCAGCACTGGGCTTCGCTCGAGGCGCCTCGCGCATCGCAGTTCCCTTCTCACCATGAAGAGGGTGGAGCTTCGAGTTTCGAACTTGGTGGATACCATGTTCAGTGGGCGATATTTTATCCAAACAAATCCCCGGACACCCCCTGGACAACCTGGACAACCCCTCCAAGATGCATTTCATAAGCGTCCCAGCATGTGATTGTGCCTGGCGCTCGAGCGGCAACACAATACCCACTTCTTGTGCCTCCCACGGGCTTTGCGTCGTCACGGCTGGATCCGCCGCAAAGCTATGGTCAGATCTCACCCCTGGAGTCCCTGGAGAGGTGCGTGGCCGGCCCAGTTGGTGAAGGCGGCGGAGGGAGAACCTCCGAAGATATCCACAGGCCCCCGTTGTCCCCAGCACCAGCTTCGCACGACAGCGACGAAGAATACTCCCACGCATTGAACGGCGAGCCCTCGTCCGCAGAGCGTCTACATCACTCCACTCCACTCCATACAATTCTGCTCCACACCATCCTCCTCTGTCTCGACCGCGGGAGAAGAGAGGAACGAGCGGAAGAGAGGGGGGAAGAGAGGGGGGTTTTAATAATACGCGACTTGGAGGCGCACATCCTATCCGATTGCCACAACATCTCGCGCATGTGCAAGACGGCCGAGGCGGCTCAATTACATGTGCAGAATTTCTGTGAGTTGGATTCTGGATAGCGAGTGTGATACATAATCACCGCTTTTGTTTTCAGCAGCGGCCAGCCGAAGCTCAGCACTGGAAGGGGCCAGGTTGACCACACCAGGCGGAGAGAGGCGGGAGAGAAGGGGGAGAGGAGGGGAGAGAGGAGGGGGGGGGGAGAGGAGGGGGAGAGGAGGGGAGATGAGAGAGAGTAGAGAGTGGGGAGAGGGGAGAGAGGAGGGGAGAGGAGGGGAGAGGAGGGAAGGGGAGGGAAGAGAGAGAAGGGGAGAGAATGGGGAGAAGGGGGAGAGGAGGGTAGAGGAGGGAAAGGAAGGGGGGGGAGCGGCGCGGGGGGGGGGGGGGGGCGCGCGGACGAGGGGCCTTGGTGCCCGGAGGCTCCCGGGAGGATCCCAGAGGCCTCCGGGGACTTCAAAAACGGGGCAGGCACGCCCAGAGGCCTCAGGTCCGACGTCGACGATGACGACGAAACTCAGCTCAACAACTCTAGGAGCGTTGTCCAATGATCACTGCCCGACTACCTGTGCGGGGCGCTGGCCCTGTGCCAATTGCCTCATACCTCACAAAGCTGTCAGTGCAGTGCGGCATGCTCTGAGTGCCTGCACAAGTAGAGGCCTCCAAATTGGGTGCGAGTGTATGGGTCGACGGATCTCGCCACATTGCCGATGCATCGCCGATGCATCGGCGATGAATCGGTGATGCATCGGCTACGTCGGCGATGCATCGCCGCCGTCGGCGCGGCGAAAAGCGGGCTCCTCATCGGACCGCATCGCCGGTGCATTGGCGATGTGGCGCGATCATCCGACCCCATCTACTTCGACCCCACTGGGGAGGCCTAGAATGAGGGGCACGGTGACGCGAACGCGCAGGGAAGGGAAGGCCCTCTCACGACGACGACGACGACGACGACGACGACGACGACGACGACGACGACGACGACGACGACGACGACGACGACGACGACGACGACGACGGGGCTCAGACATCCGAATGCTCCACGCGTAGGCCCGAGAGGTGTGGACCACTTCCCTACGGCTGGGTTTTCGTTCTCAGCCGCTTCCTGACGGTCTCAAGGCCTGGCGAGGGCCCACGGAGGCCGAAAACAGAGAAAAACGCCCGCTCCAATCTTTTGGAGCGTCGGATCTCTGGGGGGGCCAAGAGGTACTGATACCGCTACTCCCCAGACCCCTCCCCAGGTGCGTTCTGACAAGGATTTCGGAGCGAATCCAGCGGTGGCGACGAGGGCCTCCCACGAGGCCCCAGAAGGCGAAACTGAGGGCAGGGCGGGCACCTGTCCCTCCTCTGACTCACGACGACGACAGCGGGGGACGCGCCGCCGGGGCGCCTTCGTGTCCAGGTGCCAGGAGGGGAGGAGGAGGGGCGTAAGGAGGAGGAGGAGGAGGAGGAGGAGGAGGAGGAGGAGGAGGACACGTAGGAGGAGGAGGACACGTAGGAGGACGAGGAGGGAGAGGAGGGCGAGGGCGGGGAGGAAGAGGAGGGGGGGAGAAGAGCAGCAGGGGCGATGAGGGAGCACGGCGGCCCATGAGGCGGAACAACGGCCGAGAGGAGGGCCCGGCACGCCTTCGTGTCCAGGTGCCAGGAGGGGAAGAAGATGGGGCTCCCCGGCCGGGCGCCCGACGGCTTCTCGAGCAGCAGCGCCTCCGCGCGCTGGGACCCCCCCCCTCCGCTCGGCTCGGGCCCCGCCTCGTCGTCTTCTCGCTTGCACGCTCGTGCGCCCTGTCCTCGTCGTCCTCCTCGTCGTTATCTTGGTCCGCCTCCCTTGCCTCCACCGCCTCCTCTTCTCCTCTTCGTCCTCCTTCCTCCTGCATCCGCATCAGCCTCCTCTGCCTCCACCTCGTCCTCGGCCTCCTCTTCCTCCTCTTCTCCCTCACCCTCACCCTTCCTCCTCCTCCTCCTCCTCCTCCTCCTCCTCCTCCTCCTCCTCCTCTTCCTCCCATTCCTCCTCTTCTGCCTCCCCCTCCTTCTCCTCCTCATCATGATTTGTACTCTTCCTCTCCGTCACCTCCTCCTCCTCCTCCTCCTCCTCCTCCTCCTCCTGCGCCTCATCCCGATCATGTTTCTTTCTCCTCCGTCTCAGCCTCCAGTCTTCTCCTTCCCCTGGATGTCCTTCATCCTCCTCCTCCTCCTCATGTCCGTTCTCCTCCTCATCCTCCTCCCCCCCTCCCTTCATTCCGACCCATCTAATCAAACCCCATTTGGAAGGCCTTGATCCAGGCGGTGCTGGTGACCATACTCCCTCCGATCTCGTGCCCAAATGCAGGAACGAAACCATATCCACGCTCGCGCGGTCTTGATTCCGGGGCGCGATCCCATCCGAGACAGAACGCCCCGTATCCATGGAGTCGCGGCCCAATGGTCCAGCCCGCGAAGTTGTGGATCTAAATATATTTCCCACCCACGATTTTTGGCCTCAGCTCTGACTAACCATCCCCAAACCTCGAATGATCCTCGAAGCTCGACCCTGTTCTTGGTGAGAAGGGAACTGCGATGTGCAAGGCGCCTTGGATCGGCCTCTGGTGGTATCTTCGGAGGGCCTATCTCCGCCGCATTCCAAAACTGGGCCACACACCTCTCCAGGGACTCTAGGGGGTGAGCTCTGACCATGATTTCGTGGCGGATCCAGCCGTGCCGACGGGGAACCCCTGGGAGGCACAAAAAGAGTAAATCAATTATCCTGGAGGAAGAAAATACAACATAAACATACACTTTCGACGATCAGGGCGGATTTCTTGGATCCGCGCTGGACAACCCTAGGGGCGGCGCCAGAGGCGCCGCCGGGGGGGGCCTAGCGCGGATCCAAGAAATCCGCGCGGAGCGCCATAAGTGTATGTTGCTGTTTTTGTTTTTTCTTCTTCGAATCCACAAGGCTCGATACTTGAAGCTCCACCCTCTTCGTGGTGAGAAGGGGACTGCGATGCGCGAGGCGCCTTGAACGACGTCCAGCGCTGCACCCAGCCCTCCGTCTCGCGGCGCGAGGCCAGCGTCTCGCGGCCGTACCTTCTCAGGCCGCGCACCGACGGGCCCAGTCGCGGGCGCTCCGTCGTGCACCCCCTTGCAGGAGGACGCGACGTACGCAGGGGAACATGCGTGGGCATAAACATTTGGCGCTCCGCAAGAATTTCTTGGATCTGCGCTGGATCCCCCTCCCTGGCGCGCGGAGTGCGCCAGGGGCGGCGCCGGAGGCACCGCCTGGGGGGGCCCAGCGCGGATCCAAGAAATCCGCGCGGAGTGCCAAAAGTTTATCTGTATGGAGTTTTCGACAAACACACTGCAGAAACCTAGAATTTCAGAAGTCCGCGCGGATTCCTGGGGTCGGCGCCATACGCCACTCCCTTGGCGCGCGGAGCGCGCTGGGGGCGGCGCCGGAGGCGCCGCCAAGGGGGGTCCAGCGCCGACCCGAGACATGCGCGCGGACCTTCACAACTGTTCCTCGAAGGCGCCAGCATCGATCCAGGCCAGGGCCCCCCTGGGCCTCAATTTCCGAATAACTCCTCCTTCTGTCTCGCCACTGTGCTTGCATTTGTGTTTGTATCCCCCTCCTCTTCTCCCCTTGCTGCCACTTCTCCTGCTTCTGGTGCTCATCTGCATCACTACTCTTGCTGCTCCTGCTTCTCTGACTCTTCCTCTCGCTGAGGGTGAACTCGAAGTATATCTGGACTGGTGTTCGATGCCGCGGTTCATTTCGCCGAGGCCGAGCGATCCGAACCTTCGACCGCCGCCCTCTGACCATGTCTAGGTCGAGGTGCCTCCTCAGGTCTAGGTCGAGGAGACTAGACTGTTCGTGGAGACTCCTTCGGAGCCTGCTCGTGGCCGAGGCCAATTCTGTGTTTTTGTTGTCCCTCATGTTGTTACCGCTCCGCGCTGTCTCTGCTCTGCCTCCACTCCCTCTCCTCCTTTCGCCCTCACTGCACGAACGAGTGGCCTGTGAATCGGCCGCGTTCGCAGAACAACCTTGCCAAAAAACTAGCTGGGACCATGCATGAATGCACACGAGCGCACATGCTGGATTCAACCGGTCCGCCCCCATCTTCCCCGTGGTCAATGACCAATGCGGGTCACTAGTCACGGCCGCATATATATATATATATATATATATTATCCCTAGCGGCTACACGCTTACCCAGAGCTCAACTTAGGGGCGTGGTCGGTCGGAGTGGCGGTAGCCATCCAGAACATTCACAACTTCATTTTACTCGCACGGACGCCCGATCGCACGGGCGCTAAGTTCTGTAGCACTCCAGTCGGGAAAGTAAACTCAACAGAACAGAATCAGTTGACAAAGGCCGAGATCGAGAGACTCCACTCCCCTGAGAAGATTAATCAAAGAAGGAAAGCCTGCACGCATCGGCACCGACTGCGTCTGGAAAAGAAAAGGTGGGAGGATGGGGACGGACGTGGTGCGCTTGAGCATGTATGCCACGGGCGATGCAAGCATTCAATCGGGACGCCCCTCGCCTCTCTGGAAAACACAAGTCACAGACAAAAATTATCCCTAGCGGCTACACGCTTACCCAGAGCTCAACTTAGGGGCGTGGTCGGTCGGAGTGGCGGTAGCCATCCAGAACATTCACAACTTCATTTTACTCGCACGGACGCCCGATCGCACGGGCGCTAAGTTCTGTAGCACTCCAGTCGGGAAAGTAAACTCAACAGAACAGAATCAGTTGACAAAGGCCGAGATCGAGAGACTCCACTCCCATATCTGCCCATAAGGCATCTGGCGAAGCCGGCTTCAGCATTTTCTGAGAGCCCGAAGGAGCTTGACAGGAAACTCTCTCTCCGCAACCGAAGTCTTCCCTTGCTGCTCAGGTGGCAACTTATGTACTTGCCGAAGGATTTTGCCGTGCTTCGAATATCTCACCACACTCTGAGCGTGGGCCCACTGGCCCCGCTTCTGGATCTGATCAAGAGTCGCCAGGCCCATATACATGTCATGCGAAGCGCCGGCATGCCGAACTCCGTGAGGAGAGATGTCCAGATCTGTGAGGCCCAAGTCAAAAGCGGCTTGACGAAAGAGGGCCTCATACTTGGAGAGAGTCAGTTCGAACATGTAGGGAGCTGCACTGCCCACGCGATACCAAAGGCCTACCGCCTCCGCCACCCAGGCTCGTTGCAGCTCACCGATCACCACTGTCCCATCCACGACCCCAGTCTTGGTGGGCGCCGCGTGCTCGGCCTCGCCCAGGAGCAGCGCCCAGGCCCGCGCGTAGCGCCGGCCAGCCCGGGGAGCAGGCGGCAGCACCGAGGACAGGAGGAGCGACACAGCTTCATCCGGCCTCAGGTAGCAGTCGAACTGCAGAGCCAGGCACACGGCGGCGGCGGTCAGGCCTTTATCCAGGAAGTAGAGGCCGAGCAGGCAGACGACGCCGAAGGGGATGGGATCTCGGACTCGCTGGGGAGCCCGAGTGGTCCACCCTCGAAGCGCCCTCGACGCCTTCGGGAAGAGGTTGGCTTTGTTCCGATCCAGGTGCGTCTCGAAGTGAATATAGCCGTAGAGAACGTTGCGGCCCTCGGCGGGACCAGACCCCTCGAAGTACAGGTCGGTGAAGTACTGCTCCATCGCCGAGTCCGTGGAGCTGAAGCTACCCAGGTCGTAGTGCCTCGACTTCGCCCAGCCTTTGAACCTGCCGAGCGCGTCTGAGTAGAGCCGCTTCGTGGAGTCACGGATGGTCCCGAGCCGCAGGAAGTCGTCGCGCGCCGCTGGCGGGACCCGCGCCCTGCGCGCCACCGCCAGCCGCTCCTTCTCCTCGCCGACAGCCGCACGGCCCTGCTGCCGCAGCGGCGGCCTCAGGGCCGCCTTGATGACCCCGCGCGCCGCCGAACTCGACGGCGTGGCGCGCGAGGAAGTCCTGCCCGCGGCTCTCGGCGTCAGTCCCGCCGTGAGCCTCCCCGAGTTTCGCTGCAGCACCATGCGACCGCGGCACCAGCGCCTCCAGCTCCGCGTCCCACTCGGAGGCGAGCGGCTCGGAGTCGCCGAAGGCCTGAGGAGGCGCCGCCGAGCATAGCGCGGCAGCCCACTCTCGGCAGAGGGCGGGCGAGTAGGCTCCAGCCTTGAGCCCACCCTGCAGAGTCTCATGGCGGTGTGACCCATCACATCTTCTCCCCAGGATGTCCAGACAGGTGGCGTTTGTGAAGATGGTGGTCGGTTTGCGAACATTTTCTCCGAATCCACAAAGATCGAACGAGACGTATCGGGCGTCTGGCAGACTGGCAAGGACAGCAAGGGGCTCGAAGCGAAACAACTTCGAGCTGGCAGGATTCTCCAGCGACCACAGTGCGCCACAGCGGTCACACTCTTTGATGACCTCCGCTGTGAAGAGCGCCATGTCGACAGACACTGCCTCCAACCGCCGCGCCCGCTCGATGTTATAAGGCGTGGAGCGGGCGACTGACCAGGCGGAGCATGCTGTCCCCAGATGTACATACCAGAGCTTCCCGCTCCGAATCCAACGCAGCACAGCTCGCTGCGTCGTGCGACGTGACAAATCATATCGGGCGGAGCGCCTGATCTCGGCGCCTGGCAGGACTCGCAGCCCCAAGCGCCTGAGAGAGGCGGTGAGCCGGCCTGAGCCCGAGAAGAGCTCGAGCGAGGCTTGGACCGCCTGGGGCGTGCCATGATGTCGAGGCACGCCCAGGCGGCGGCCTCCCCTCCGCAGAGAGGCCGCGGGCGCCCCGCCCTCAAGTCTCGTGGGTACCAGCACTCGCGGGGCTCGGGGACGACGGGAGCCCGCGTCCGCGTGGTTCCTGTCCGTGCGGATGTGGCGGGCCCGCCATGCCACGCAGCCGGCAACCTGATAGGCCGCGGCTCGGCGGCACAGCGCATTGAGCGCCCAGCTCGACGAGCGGCCGCGGTCGAACACCACGGCGGACACGAGGTTGTCCGACAGGGTGAGCAGCCGGCGGTGGCACCCCCGTCTGGTCCGCAAGCTACGTCGGAGACCCATGAGACAGACCCTAGCCTCCTTGACGTTGATGCGTTCCTGCTTCCAGTGCCAGAAGCCCTCCACCAGCGTACGCCAGCGCCGCCTATTGTCCCAGCAGGCGCCGACCACGGGGATGGCCTCGAAACCTTCCACCTCCTCCCGCGGCGCGGCCCCTCGGGCCGATCGCCGACGTCTGCGTCGCTTGGGATCGGCCCCGACCTCGGCGGCGCGGGCTGCCTCGACGGCCCACTGCGCCAGGCGCGTCCGAGCCCCCAGCGGCTCCCAGGCGGTCCTCCCCACGACGTGGGGCTCTCCGAACGCTTCCAGCTGCTCGGGATCGTCGCCGTCAAAACAGACTCCGAATGCCGCCCCCAACGCCTCCAAGGTCGGGTGCGGCGGCGGAGGCAGCGGCGGCGCGGCCTTGAACCTCCAGCGCTCCCTCCACTTGAAGTCCTCCAGCAGCTCGTCGCCTGTGCCCTTCGTCTCCATGAGAGCGTAGCCGTAGCCCGACGAGTCGCCGAGGTAGACCGACGAGTTGAACGGCGCGTCCAGCTCCACCTCGCAGGTGAAGACCAGGTTGGACATGAGCCAGAGCTCGCGCCGTACGCCTCGCCACAAGCGGCCTGACCTCTCCTTGTGAGCCGCGACGTAGGCGTAGCTCTGGGACAGGATAGACAAAAGGGGTCGGCAGAGGCCGCACATGTGAACGGCGTGGCCCAACCAGATCTCGAGCTGCCATCCTGCCACCACACGGCGGCGAAGCAGGGCTGCAGTCGCCAGCTTGAAGCGCCAGAGGCGGGCTGACCGATGCCGCAGGCGGCGGCCCGGCCCGTCAAACTGCAGCCCGAGAGCCTCGAGATAGGGGCTGCAGGGGACCTCATCGTGGAGATCGAGGCCGAAGGCGGCACACTGCGCGCGGAAGTCCTGGTGGGCCTGCTCTGCGTCCATGGCGCTGTGCCCCAGCCTGGTGTGGTTGTCCACGTACACGGCGTGGACGGGACGCCCAGGGGCCAGGCGGGGGGCCGGAGCGCGCTCTCGGAGCAAGCTACCCCACCCATCAGCAGCCACAGCCGC